ATTATTAAATTTTTGTAAAAATTCTGTATTCAAACCATTCCGGACAAAACTTACTCCAACAACTTGAACAATAGATTGCATGAGAACGTATATAGAATTGGAGGCAATATAATTGTTCGTGGTGGTAGTAAAAATAGGTGACAATTGTTTTCTTTGAACAACAGAGAGTAAATACTCTAACAAATGTTCTTTAAAAGTCCAATAAAACTCATCTTCGACATCTTTATATATCAGACGAATTAAGAAGTGCATCAATACTGAAGACCAATACTTCCGAAATTCAATATTTCCTTTCATTTCATCTAATAAAACATGATCAAAATATGGTTTCATCATACTCAATAAATTTTCCATATACACTGATTTTTTGGGGGGAACGTCATCAACATATTTTATTTTGGAAATGTCAAAAATCTTTTCAAATTGAGAAAGTAAGATGGTACATGTCTGTTCAGGCTTAACTGCCGTCGCAATGATAAAAGGATGCCTTCCATGACCAAAGTGATATTCACCTATGTACGCTTGGTTTGATAATATATCGGCTATACCTATTATAGCATTATCAAGGGAATTTCCTGAGAGTAAAAATAGTGCATCCGTTAACCCATTAAAAGCATCAACCCAATCAACAATTCCCTTTTGAACAAGGTCAACCAAGTTGTTAATAGCATTTGAAGATATTATTCCAAATGGCGATTTGACCAAATTCCAGAGTTTATCCAAAGGTGAAGGTTCATTTTTACCTTTTGGGTACGACTTTGCAGCCCCAGGATTTGCAATAATTACTTCAGTCACTTTTTGAACTGATTGAATAGTGACAGAACGATGTTGTAATTCCATCTTTTTTTATAATTGCAAATCATGAATTTCTGTTTTATATATTCTTTCTCGTGTAACAATTAAGGTGACATTACGTAATTCCTCTGATCGAAAATCATTGACAATCCAGGGTTAGTAGAAATTAATTTCACAATTCGCCAGCATTTTTAGTGTTAAGCATATTCTGCAAAAGTAGACATCAAAATCAAACTATGCCAGAAGTTACTACATATTCCAGATTACTCCAGATTGCTGCTCCAGAATAAATTTTATAGTATCATATATTGCAAAATGTACTACGTACTAAATTGTAATATATATTTTAATATCTATTATATAACTTAATGAATTTTGTTTTTATTCTACAATGAAATTTCTTAGGATTTTAGGGATAGTGTGTAGATTTATTTTAAATAAATTCTACCCTGAAATTATGATTTTATTAAGAAAATTCCAAAATTCATTTAAATTTAATACTCCATTAACAACTCTGAGCCAATCAACCATATAGAACTCACACCAAAAAAAACCAATTGCTCTGATCAAAATCGTGGTACACTAGCCGAAATTAACAAATTTTTGCATCCATCTTTATGATCAAACATTCGTTTGATGGACATTATATATTATATGTATTATTTGATATTCATTTGGCTTATAATTACATGATACAGCTTTACCGTACAATACTTCCCACATGATTTATGCTAAAGGGTAGTTATTGTCTGCTTCGCATTCAATAACTATACAAAACCAAATCCTTACTCGCAGCTATCCGCATAATTGCGCATTTATTCGCAGACTTTAAAAAGGATTATGCAAATCAAATATATTGATATCAATAAGATTAAGTTATGAATATGCTTATCGTTCTGTCGTTTAGTTTGTAACACTAGTACAGAATACAGGTACGTACGCATACATAAAATAGTACATCGTGAACAACATCAGCATGCAGTCCAAAATTTCCGGATATTAGTAAGAATTATTTGTCCAATAGAGAGTTTTTATTAGATTTAAAAGTGTTCTTATATGCAAAATTGCACTCCCGACATCTTTTGTAAGTGCATCAAGATAGGTTTAGACCAGGGACGATGATTTTCTGCGGCAATAAGTAGCCAATTCCGTCCGTGACAAATTCAAATTCCGCAAAACTTCCGTGTATGCATTTTTTCGCGCATTTCTGCAATAAATAATTAAAGATTCTACGCCATTTTATTAAAAATATATTTATTCTGCAGTTTTTTTTATTAAAAAAAAAATATCAAATTTGAATTTTGCCATTAAAGTATAACATATTTAAATTTTGTAAAGAATCTTTTGATAGATTTTGTCGACTACTAATTATATTGGAAAAGCTTCGCCCTACACTGCACGAAGAAACAGGCAACCAGTTTCGTATAATTACCATATTATTGAGTTTTTTCGATAAAGTATAATGATAATCATGAGTAATACTTCACCTATTGATTTGATTGGCCAATGATCACGTTTTATTGACATGAATTAGCCAACCATACGAATATTATACTATGAGTGAGAATTCTGCTGATTCCGTGATTCTGCGGCATTCCGTGAAACGCAGAAAATCATCGTCCCTGCCGTTTTTATATTTTTCGTGCTTTTTGTTGTCCGGAATGATCTTCGTAATCTGCATGATTCTGCATAATACTGCCATTTTCCGGAAAATTTGGACTGCATCTTGATTCTGTTGACTTTAATATTTCTATAAATTACTTTTGTTCATTAACAAAAGACCTGAATTGAATTTTAACCTACGTACAGCAATGGGAGATTCAGAATTAGGAACTTCTTACAATGATATTGTTTTACCGACTATATGGGATATTGAAGATAAATCGCCATTTATTAACATAGAATCATGTGGACTTAAGGTGAGTTATACAGGTAATATGAAGATGAGAAATCTCGTAGAACATATTTAATATGTTACTATAATCATCGGCATTTAAAAGAATATCATCATAACTATTTAATTTATTAAACCTTTTTATTAAAAATCCTGATGACAATAAAGCTGTAATCGTTCGAGCGAACAGTCCAATCCCTTCAGAGTGTGGGATATTTTACTTTGAAATTGAAATTTTAAACAAAGGAAAAACTGGGTAATATTAATAATTATTTCGTACCATAAACATCACCTTTGTTCTGGTGATTTTTTATAATCTTTTAATTCTATTTTCTTAATAGAATGATTGGAATCGGATATTGTACAAAGCAAAGCGATAAAAAAATAGACGACTCAACTTACATAAATAATATGCTCATGCCCGGTAATAGCAAATTTTTAGTTTATTTTCTTATTATTACAAATTAACATCCATCATATCCCTTAGGTCAGGAATATAAGAAAAATAAAGAAACTAAAGAAAATGAACAAAACAAAGAAAACAAAACCTGGGGGTGTGGGTATCATGGTGACGATGGATATTCTTTTTGTTTAGGAAGTGGCGAGCCATATGATTCATTGTATCCTCTTGGATATACTACTGGTGATACAGTTGGATGCTATTTAAATTTTAGAAATAGCATAGTATTTTATACTAAAAATGGAATCAACTTAGGTAACTAACATTTTAGAAATTACAGTTTGTATGTCTTAAAGCAAATTGATACATAGAAATTAATAATTACAAAATATTTTAAGGAATTGCATGCTATCTACCTAATGATTTCAGAGTCATTTTATATCCTTGTGTTGGATTTAGATCGCAAGGCGGATCAGTAGAAGTGAACTTCGGCAACAAAAAATTTAAATATTCTGGTAAATTTTATTCAATAATTTAATCATTTTTGTTTATTTAAAATGTAACATGGTTTATATATATTTCAATTTACAGCAATGACGAATGAAACATTAGCATAAAACCAAATAATAATACATTAGCATTGGAATATCAAGAAAAGGTTTATTTTATTATTGGTGGATATGAAAATATGCTTGTTAATTTAACCAATAAATTAACAAATTCACTAGAAAAAAATAGGCCAGTTAATGTATTTGAATTGACCTACAGAGGAAAAATATATTTTATTATGGGCGAATATGATAAGGCATTGGAAGATTTAACTAGATTGCTAAAAATCATGCCAAATAATACAATAGCATTAAAATATAGAGGAGAAATTAATTATATGATGAAAAGATATAATGAATCAATTGCAGACTTGGAGAAATTATTAAGAATTAAACCAAATGATATATGGGCAAAGAAGACTTATGAATTAGTTAAGGGGCTGTAAGTATGATGTCAATCACAAGTCTGTAAGTACAGTAACAGAATTTTTATAGTCAAACATATAACTAACATTGCTCTAAATCACACGTATTACTATAGCTCGTAAGTAGAGTAAACCAGATTTTTTTTACATTAAATCACCATAGAAATCACGTTCATTCCAGTACAAAACTAACATTACCATATCTAAATCACTTGTATCACTATAGCTCGTAAGTACAGTAAACCAAAATTTTTTACAGTAAATCACTATAGAAATCACGTTCATTCTAATACAAAACTAACATAACCATATCTGAATCACTTGTATTACTATAGCGAGTAAGTACAGTAAACCAGAATTTTTTTACAGTAAATCACTATAGAAACCACGTTCGTTCCAATACCAAACTAACATAACCATAACTAAATCACTTTGTATCACTATAGCTCGTAAGTACAGTAAACCAGAATTTTTTTTACAGTAAATCACTATAGAAACCACGTTCATTTCAACTAACTGTACACCATAATAGTCGGTAATAATTTTTTACAGTAAATCACTATAGTAATCACATTCATTCCAATACAAACCAGCATAACCATATCTAAGTCAACTTGTATCACCACAATAGTCTGTAAGAATTTTTTACAGTAAATTACTATAGAAATCACGTTCATTCCAATACAAAA